GGCCGACCTGTGCTGTTGATTTCAGTGTGTGATTACTCCCACATTTAACAAGAGAAAACAGAGTCTGATTCATGTGAACAGATAAAAAAAATGAACCTTAGTTTCTTGTTTTTGTTCCACCAGACAGTGTCTGACATTGAGCGAGGCTGGATACTCGTCAACAAAGACCAGCACCGGCAGCTTAAATCACTGCAGGAGAAAGGCTCCAAAAAAGAGGTAAGGCAAGGGCACGGAATTTCACCTACAAAGGAATGTTTTTGTCAGAAAATAAATTCTTTGACCACAGGGAACGCAGCCTGGAGTCAGTTCATTCTTTGAGATAATTCAAACGTTTATTCCAAGCAAAATACAGGGCAAATCATTTTTTTTTATGCTTTCCCTCCCAGTTCATCAATCTCGGACAGACGCTCAAGTATTATGGTTATATCAAGTTTGACCCTTGTTGCACCGACTTCCCGGAAAAAGGCTGTCAGGTGATCGTCAGTGCCGGCAACAACGAGCTCAACTTCCACGTCAAACTACCCAATGAACAGATAAAAGAGGGGAGCTTCAAGGTCACTCGCATGAGGTGTTGGCGAGTCACGTCTTCAGTGAGTAGAAATGTGTGCCTTGGGGTATGTGCACACACCTTCAGGAATGTGTGTGTGTGTGTGTGTGTGTGTGTGGGAAAGCGATAAAATCAACAAACTAGACTCCCACCACATTGGTATGAGCCTGTGACCCGGCAGAGCGGCCATGCAACAGTTTTGGCCTCGGGCGTTTTCAAACCATGTGCCTCTGAATCTGCTTGTTTACAAGCCTCCCTTCACCACTGCACCACAGGCCAATGTCTGCAGACTCACTAGGCTTTTGGTTTGACTCCTACTGCCTGCTGAAAGTGCTGATCTCCACACCATCTATTTTCATCAGTGCAGTTACGCAAACACAACCCACACAAAGATAGTTCTTTATTGATCCAGCAGCCCAGGCTGTTAGAACGAGTAATCGTCCTTTGGTGAGGAGGAATTGTAAAGGTATAAAGTGTAAGGTTCAACCTGCATATACTACTCCACTGTACACGTCCATACAGTCATGAAGTATACCCCGGGTACGGTCAGCTGGCTGTGAATAATGAAGTCAGTAATATGCCAGAAACAAAAGGTAATAAAACATGAAATTCAGAGGGATTGTTAACAATATTGTCACACGTTTTGGTTAATTTTCTGAAGAAAAAATATTATTTCTTAGTGCACTTCATCAGACAGGGACATGTTTTTAGTGTATGAATAACTGGATAGAATAGTTCCTTTTTTTGTTTTTTTTTTTTTTTTTTTTTTTGGTGACATCCAGTTCCAGTGTCTTTGAAAACTGGAGCAGTCGACTTTCACATCTGTTCATACCTACTAAAAGCCATAGATGTGCAGATCCACTCGTCATATCCAATATTTAGAAAACCCATAATATATGCAGAACCTGAATTAAATAGGTTGAGGTTATTGTCTTAGCTCTAACTGCATCAGTGTCTCAGCAGCTGCTGTTTTGTGGATAAAAGAAAACTCGTATTCTCTCTGGCTCCGTAAAAGCACATTTGGAAAGAGGTCACGACGGCTCATCTAAAATTAAAATGCGAGTCGGCGCGTCTGATTACAGACGGGAGCTCCTCGCTGTCCAGCGGGTTGATTAATTCCTCAGCTCATCCTCAGAGGTCACAGTCATTTTAATGAGCCTCTTCCTCTAATGCAGACGGTCGGTGCAAAACTGCAGCCCCCTCGTTATCGCACCCTGATCTCAAATGACATCTGGGAAATGCAAATGAACAGACTTGTGCGGCTGTCCATATGAACCGTTTTAATCTATGAGACCCTGTGTTGTCTGTGTGTGGTTGCCATGGTAATTAAAAGCTAATTTCCAGCCCAGAGGAAACACTTTTAGTGAAAAACACAGGATTCATACATGAAGAATAAATGAGGACTCCTCTCCAGGGAGCAGCTCCTGTCGCTGAGCCTCGCAGCATTAGAAATACTGCATGGGTAGATTTCCATCCTCTTCTTTCACAGCCGTGTTAATCTTTCAGCATGTGCAGGAATTCAGACTTTCAGTATTTATTTTATTGTCACAGCAGCAGCTCTGGAATGGCAGCTTAAGAGGAATCGAGGTTTAGCTGCTCACATGTCCATGAGCCTCCTAACATGGAGACCAGGAGTGAAGTCATGGATGGAAAACAGAATGATTATCTTATTGTGCAAGTGACTACATAAATGTGTGTTTTTTGTTTTTTTTGTGTGTCACGCCTCAACCCGTGAGTTTAATATACTATTTTTGATTAGCTGTTTGGGTTAAAGCTGTGGGACAGGGTTTGTCCTACTGGCATGTGTGGAATTGGCCAAAAAATGGTCCCAAATTTAATCTATAATAGTTGACTTCCTGTTGGATTTAGGTCATTGGTCGCAAAGATATTTGGTTTTTGTCTAATAAAAATGTATGAGCTTTCCATTTGAAATGCTCTAGATGGCGCTGTGGAGCCATTATGGCCTGCCTACTGGTTAGACATTGCACCTGTTGATCAATGTGCAAAATTATACAGCACACACAGTACTCATACTCTTAACTGTATCTCCATCTTTTGTTAATACTACAGCAAGTCCCAATAGCCAATGGTAAAACAAATCTCTGCAGCTCGGCCAAATGTGAGGTCAAGCTGGAGTTGGCCTTTGAGTATCTGATGAGCAAAGACCGCCTCCAGTGGGTGACCATCACCAGTCAACAGGTAAAGGGTCACTGACGCGGTCAGGGTGGATGAAACAGCCAGTTCATTTAAATACATTTGATTTGTTCGTTGCTATGTTTTTCATTGTTTCCTGTGATTTCAGGCAATTATGATGAGCATCTGCCTTCAGTCTATGGTGGATGAACTGATGGTGAAGAAATCTGGAGGCAGCATAAAAAAGGTTTGTGTCGTTTACAACAGCATCTAAAAAACACATTTTTGTTTATTAATTACCACAGGATGTTCATTGCTTCACACCTAATTCCTAAACATATTAGACATTTCTCCACACTGGAGATGTTCTCTAGTCGATTATCTTTTATAATTGTGTGGATTGTGGTGAAAAGATTTATGTTGGCATGACGTTTTTGTGGCATCGTATGTCACCCTCAGATGCTGAGGAAACGACACAACGACTCCATCCACCGATCTGACAGTCAGCAAGCTGTGAAATCACCCCCTCTGCTGGTGAGTAGTAGTAAATGTACTGTTATGGAAATCAGATTTCAAGTGCAGGTTCATTTTCATTTATTACGGTATTTTTTATTTCTGCAGGAGTCCCCTGACTCAAACCGTGAAATTGTTAAACTCTCTGTAAGTAAATGTTTTGGCTCCTTTGACATGAAATGTTTTCAAAATGAATGTGTGCTCAAATAAATGCCCGAGATATGTCGAATACAAAGCAGTAAATTAGATTATGGGTTATTTCACTCAGACCAAGCTGAACTCAGTGTCCCTGCGAGGGATCAGTGCATCCAACTCAGCAAACGACATCAGTGGAAATGATTTCCATGGAAATTACGCCTTTGAGGGAATCGGGGACGACGACCTGTAACCTGAATGTTGACCTCCACCCCATCACCCCTCATCCCAATCCACTGTCAACAACTGGGATGATGAGGATTCTGAGCCGAGCGAAACCACACATTTGTCCGATTCTGCAAGATTGTAGCTTCTTCCTGGAGAAAATGTTGCCTTAAGCTCTCATTTATGTCGACAGCGTCCTTTGCTTTGAATGCGTATTAAATAGCTCCATGTTCAAAATGAAACCATCTTCATGAACGGAATTCAAATATTTTAAATAAGTCAGTACAAAATAACAACTAACAACTCAAAAACCTTTAATTGATTTAGAAACTGATGCCTGCAGCATTTTTCAAAAGGTCGGGACACATCCTCCATGTGTTCCGACCTTTTGTTACCACAAGGGTTACTGCTTCTTTTCTGCTCTTTAGAAAAGATCCAAATTGATGTGTGTTTGTGGAAGTCCGGGCTCATCCTACACCAAGTTGACGGAAGTTTATTTCCAGTCGTTCTAGCCGCAATACCTGAACCTAACACCAGAGTTTGTCTTGGTTGACTCCTCTGTTTGGTATCAGTTTCTGAACTGATTTAAGTCCAAGTTTGTTAGTAAATTCTCCAAAAGCCTTTACTTTATTTCATTTGTAGCAGGATGCAGTAGCGTAACGTGTGAGTCAAAAAGTGCTTAGACATATGCATAAAATTCAAAGTGTCTGAGATGTTGAGACACATCTCACTGACCTCTCCAACTGTTTTGACCAGGTTCGTTGTCATATCTTTGTCAAGTGTTGAGAGTTACATTTTATTTCATACAGATTTTAAATCAAACTCAAATAGGAACCAGTAAGAAGTATTCGCTAGATGTTTTTCTTTTCCTGGAACTCAAAGAATGTTTGAAAGGAACTTTCAGTCCTTGGGAGAATTAAAGAAAGAGGTTCTCTAAACAAAGATATAAATAGAGAGGATGTAAAGGATCTTTTTTATTTAATTTTATAAATCTAGGTCTTATTGTCTTTACACCTTTTGACTCACCCTCATTCGTTAGCTGTTTCACTGGCGGCCTGTGTTAATTTCTATTAACGAAACAGGCTAAGTAGAGATGATCAGTTCTTCTACCAGTGGCTGCGTGTTCCTCTCTAACTCTAGAGCCTGTTATTTGGTTCAGACCTGGCACTAGTGATGAAATAGCACATCTGGACCAGGATGAGTCCAAAGAATCTGTAGATTCTCTCTCCCTTTCTCTGCCTCTATCTCCCTCGCTCTCTCGTGTTCAACTGCTCACTAACGAACTAACTAAAGTACGAATAATTGTTGGCAAAAGTGTATTTTTATACGGGTGGTGATTCATTGCGTGCTGTGCTCCGTGCTCATGTGCCAAGTCGTTACATATGTGAATAACATACCAGCAGTGTTTGTTAGAGACTCAGTCACACTCATGCTGCCTTCAGGATCAGTCCGATGCCTTAAGTTTTTCATTTCCCTCCTTCATGGAGGACAACATCGTCCATCAGTAGGACACGTTTGTTCCCCAGATAGCAGTTGAGTTTGGACTTGTTATCTAGAATCTTGCAGAACACGATGGATGCCTGATTTGGCAAAGCTGCTTACACTTGTTGCTGAAACCCATCATTATTTCTTTTTTGCACAGTACAGTATTAGAGGTGGATGTTTGACTGGAGGCTTGGGCATCGTTTTTATTTCTTTCCTACGGGGGTCGCTGCAAAAGTCCATTTGTATTTTTTTTTTTTTTTAAATTTAAAAACATCTTTGATGGTTTGTCATTAATGCCAAATTATAGTTTACTAAAGTATTTTGCACAAAATAAACAAAACATTATAATAAAAATGTCACTTTTTTATATGATGTACATTCATTTAAGTATTCCGAACATTTACTAATGTCTTTAGCCTCATAGCTTAATGTAATCACATAGATCAAATGTAATCTAAGCTGTATAGAACAAAGTTTTATCTGACTAACATTTATCTTTGATTACATTGAATTTATGGAATATGTTTTTAGCTCAAATGGGAAAGTGTTTTTGCATTTGATTTTCGTCTCAGCTGCATGTTGTTAAGAGGCTCCAGTACGGAAAGTACGAATTTTTGCTTATCAACTGCGATCATCTGCGTTTCTAGTCGTAGAAATTTTTAAGTGGTGCTTTTAAAAGGCAAAAAGGAAAATAAACACATTCCCTGTACTTTTTCTGCCTTAACCCATTTTACAAAACCCAGCTTCTCTGGGTAAAAGTCAGTGCCAACTTGTCCAAAGCTTTATCGGTAGCATCAACTGTAAGATGAAAATGTTCTCAAAAGTAAATGTCTTCTATAATAACTGCTGTTCTTCCACATTATAGTTTGTATTATTAAAATAGATGAGTAAATGAAGGACACCAGCTGTTCTCCAAGGTCCTGATCGTGAAATGTTTGGTACCAAATCACAAAATGCTTTTTCGTGCATCAACACCATACAGCGAATGTCAAATTCATGCCGCTTGTAGTGTTCTGATTCATTCCATTGTTTTTTTCTTTTAATGTCGTTAATGCTAACTGTCCAGTGACAAATCTCCATCTGTTTGCCCCTGACGCTGAAATAAAACTCTGAAATGACATGACCTTGTGTTCCTCAGTTAATGATGATCTCAGTCATTTCTTCATCACTCCCCAGTCTTGGTCAGGTGCCATGTAAATATATCCCCGTTCCTAATTGGTGCAGAGCCGCCAACATTCATTGCAGTGTTTACAGCAGGGGTCTCCAAACGTTTTACCTCAGGAACTTGACGAAAGTTGGATCTGCACAAGGAGGGCAAACTCTTTAACGTGTCAATAATACAGCTAAGCCTGGAGATAAACCAACAACGAAGCAACGTGTGGCATTAAATGAAACCATTTTCATGATTTTATTTCAAAATTCTCACTTAAGGCATTTATGAGACACTGCATAAGGACAGGTATGGACACGTGGTGGGGCGAGGGTATGAGTCAGTGGTTGTGATGCCTGTGTCATGAAAAACTATCAACCTGAAAATATCTCACTTGCATATAGTAGCCATTTACAAATAGTCCATTTTTTCAAATTTTCTCACCCCCCACACACATTTAGCCAACGACACACACCACACCAAGAAAATTAAAATAAAATTCTACTTCTATATATTTATGTATATATATTAAAGTATGCACTTCTAGCAGTGGATTACGGTCACGTTAGAAAAATAAACCAATAACACACTCACATGCTTTAAAGTAGTGTATCTTTTTTCTCTCCCAGGTTTAAAAAACATGGGGCTACTTTCACAGTTAGCAGTAAACAGTGATCTGAAGGAAGTGATTCTGAAATGACCTGTCGTTACTTTTCCAAAAATTTGAGTGAGATAATTTAAACAACATGCTAGTGTTGAATTTCAAACTTAAAC